ATATAAAATGAACCCTTGGGTGTGTGATGTACTGTATGAGGTGATGCACCTTACACAGAAATGGCTACAATTCATTCTTGTCCTTTGGCCACTGTCTTGACTTTTGCCTTACTTCACCAGCAGTGTCCTGGTGTATATACACACATATACAGTATCCACTTAGGGTTGTAATCTTTATGCAAACACTTTCCTGCATAGACATAGTTAGATTGACTTGCGTGTAAGCGCACAGTCCTACCATTGCCTGGTGTCATTAAAAGTGTCCTCATGCTAAGATGATCCACAACAAAACAAACTCTGATATCACAGGCCCAGGGTGTTGGCACAGCGATGACAAAAATAGGAAGTTTGGCTAATAAGTGACAGGGTCGTTAGCAGTAATTACCCAGAATAGCTGTGTTTGTCTGTGTGCCTGTGGTGGGCTGCCACACTGCTAACGAATGATTACTTTAAAAAGGCCCTAAAAACCTTTCATTGTGTTTTTCCCAGCACTGGGAAAGTCGGCTATCAGTGCTGATGAAAACATAAAGGAATCTAGCTGGTGTGGGACCATGGATATTCGAGCTAATGTTGCTTGTTTGTGAGGTCTTATAATTGTAAGCTAACCACCACTACTCAAATCATATCCATACCACATCCCCTGAGTGTTACAGTGTTATTTGCTGATAGTTTGAATGTCATCCTCTAGTATGTAGGAGCTTGTTTGAGCCAAGGCTGGCACCAGTTGGTTCGTCAGTCTACACTGCTAGTTCACTCCTCTGATGTCTGATACAATCACTATTTCTCCCCCCAGGACCTGCGGCTTCTTTCACAAAGACCAGCTTAAGCTTGCACTGACAAATCAGAACGGAGATAAATTCAAATAATTATTGTTTGTTTACTGGTTGACAGAACAGTCCCATCTTACAGTAAGGTCCACACGCATGCTTTTTTCTAGAGCTTTCAGCCCTATGACAATAGCAAGAAAAAGTATGGAAACCCTTTGGAATGGCCTGGTTTTTCTGCATAAATTGGTCATAAAAAGCGAACCGAGTCACAGGTAAAAACAAACACAATGTATTTAAGATAAGGGGAGGTGACAATGGTGCAGTGGATAGAGCAGTCGTCTCCCAACAGGAAGGTTGAAGATTCGAATCTTGGTGCCTGCAGTCCACGTGTCAAAGTGTCCTTGGGCAAGACACTGAACCCCCCTGTTGCCCCTGATGGTTAGAGCCATAGGTTGAGTTGGCGCTGCAGATGGCTGCCTCGGTTCTGTGCCGGAAACAAATTCCTTGTGTGTAACATAGTACTTGGCCAATAAAGGTGATTATCCTTATAACACACAAGTAGGTATAATCCTGTCTTTATTCAACACAGCCATTTAGCATTCACTGTGCTGTTAGAAAAAGTAAGTGAACTTCCAAAAGTACACTGCTACCAAAAGCAATATACTCAAAGAGGTGCTTCCATTAGCTGTGGACCAGTCTTGTACAACATTCAGGAGGAACTCCAGACCATTCTTCTTCACAGAACTGCTTCAGCTCAGCCATATTCTTAGGATGTCTGGTGTGAATGGTTTGCTTGAGCAGTTCTATCGGGTTTAGGTCTGGGCTCTGACTGGGCCACTCCAAAGGTAGATTTTCTTTGTTTGAATTGATCCTGTAGTACATTTTCCTGAATGATTAGGGTCACTGTCCCCCTGCCAAACTACTACTAAGCTTTAGCTGGTGGATGGTATCCCCTATATATACTTTATCTTGATAAATATGGGGATTTGGGAATTTCCCCTCGGTGATGGCAAGCTGTCTGGGCCCAGAGGCAGCAAAGCAACCCTAAATCATGGTGCTCCCTCCAGTATACTTCACCTCTGGGATGATGTTTCCATGTTGGTATGCGGAGCCTTTTTTACACCAGACAATTCAACCTTAGTTTCATCAGTCCACAAAACATTTTCCCAGTGGAGTGTCAGGATGTTCTTTGGCAAACTTTAAGTTCACAGTCATTTTTTTTGTGTTTTGAGAGCAGCGTCTTTCTCTGAGGCGTCCTGCCATGTGCACCATTCTCCATGCATCATGATTTGTGTGCGGTAGACTCATTAACAGAGATGTCACTCAGAGTGACTGTGGACACTTGCTAGGGCCTGCCTGTCTCCTTCAACTAATTTAACATGTTTCATGAAATGTCTGGTCAAAGGATGGAGCAGGAGAGCACTCAGGCCAACCTAATCCAGTCTGAGAATGGGATTAATGAAGCTTGGGAGACTGAAGGCAGTTTACTGAAGGTTAGTGATGATCCTCTGGCGTTGAGTTAAGGAATCAGGTTGGATGGGCGGGGGGCAGTGCTGTCACAGTCTGTCATGTTGATGTCTAACCAGTACTAGGGGGTGTCAGTGGTCCAAAGACTAGATTAGCATAACAAGCCTTTCACTGACGGGTTTTGGTGACACAGAGGGAAATTTTGCGGGTCGGGGGGTAGTGTGAGAGAGGGTGTAGGGCTGTAAAATGACCAGGGATGGTGATGACGGAGGGGTGGTGACAGGGGGCTCTAGCCTATGCTCCAGATGGAGGTTGACCCACAGCAGCTGGGGACTGGCTTAGATATCTGCTCCTATATCGTCTGCTGTGTGTATGTGCGTGCTTGCGCACACACAAATGGTCAGCTGGTTTATGAGTGATACAGAAAGTCGCTGTCCATCAAATGGAGCCCAAACTTCACACGGCATGTCACTCATCTAAAAAAGAAATTAGCAATCCGTCTGTGTGAAGGACAATTTCTGCACCTCAGCCATGCGAGTGTGTGTGTTTGTGTATGTCTGCATCCCTGCCTGCAAACAGGCTAATTGGGGTTCATTATTAACTTGCTCTAGCCTAGATGAGTCTCGTTAGGCCAGGGAAAGGATTGATTGTGGCCCCTTCATCCATTGTCTCTTACCATTGACCAGTCTCTCCCCTACAGAAAAGAGTAGCTACTGTTGATAATGATGATGATGATGATGAGGGCAGGCCTGGTGGTCAATGGACAAACATTGAAAACTGTACCTATAAGGCTGTTATAACATTTACTGTATATACAAGAAACTATGCAAAGTCTTTCCACATTTTTTTCCCAGAACCCAAATTTGCTCCAGTCACCTATACACTTACGGTTCTCATGACGCATTTGTGTTCAGGAGTCAGTTCTCATGGTTCTGGGCCTGTTAAAAGGGGTTGATAGTATTAGCAGAGTTGGCTGATAAACTGTTGAAAGTGCATCATTCTTTTCATGTGTGAGTGGTTTGGTTAATGGATACTGTTTCACTTTTTCACTTGATATCATTATGTTTTTCGAATGTTCTGTTTGGGTTTTTAATTTTTTTTTTTAGAAAAGATCTGCCTATGGGTGTAATTACAGTGTAATTGTAATGTAATTACCACATGAGGCTGCATTGTTGGCCTGTAAACATCCTAACCCCACTGGTTCACACTGTAAGGAGTCAACACCCATTGACTCAAGGCTGTAACACTATTAAGTGTGAAGGTTCTTTGCAGTCTGAATTGAGGAAGACTCCAGCCGAGCAAAAACTTTAACCTTTCACGTGCATATAATTAAAACTTGGAAGCAAACAAGACAAGATATATTGGCAAGGCCAAGGTTTGTTTGCACCAACTACATTTGATGGATTCGAAAAAGTGAAGTCTGGCTTATCCCTAAATCCATGCGGCATTCTTGGCAGTAAGGGCAGTTAAATGATCATTTGGAGGCACTCTAAGGGTTGTTTTTGTTTGTCCGTATCTTCTCTGGGGTGAAAAGCATGGTTTTGGCACATTGTCAAATGTGTCAATTATCACCAAATGCTGGGAACATTCCTTTTTGTGTGTCTATGCCTTTCTTCCACTGTGTATGCTGTTTGTGTAGTATCATATTCACAAATGTAGTTTAATTTAAACCCATCAGCAATAAAAAGTGCCTACTGGTTTACACGGTGCTTGCAACTTAGACATAGCCTAAGTGTTATCTTATTGGTGGCTGGCTCTAGGATCTGCACTTGTCCCTGGTACACACCCACACACACCTATACAGATTACAGGATCACACAGAGGGATGCTGCATACACACTTACACAGACATTGTCACGTATTTTATATGTACACACACCACTTCAAAAATAGCTCAAGTTTAAAAAGGTTATAAGGCTGCCATGAATTGCTTTGGCTGAATCTTTTGTATCAAAGAAAGAAGTGTTAATGAGCTCAGCGTTTACTACAAACATACCAAACCATAATTGTTGCCCTGATCTTCCTTTGCCTTCACACAACCAATTTCAGCCTCTTATGTTCATGGTTCAGATCCGTCACTGAACCCTGCTGTTAAGCATCTGTCCTGTTAGTGTTTTATTGCTTGCTTATTAGCTTGAATAGTAATGAAGGAACTGTTTATACTGTATGCAACTAAATAGAAGGTCACACACTGCATAAATACACACAGTGCAGTATCACAGGCCCACCCCTCATACAGTGTACTGTAGGAGCCATTTTCATTCTCATCCTCCTCACTCATGCACTCTAGCTCAATAGTACTGTAACACATAATTAGTTCAGCCAGCATCAGGTCTCAGAGTATTTGCGTTGTGTGATTTGGGAGTGAGGAGGTGGTCACCCACAGCTCAGCCAAGTAAAACCTGTCCCTTGGAGCTGGATGACAAAATGTGACTCGGGAGAGGGGTGATTTCTTTCCCAGGAGAATTATTCCCCAAGTAAGGACATCAGAGTGGCACTTTTGTCTTTACTCCTAATTGTACCACATCGTATATAGTCCCTGAATTTTTTAAGTTGAATTTGATGTGTGTCCCTATATACATAACTTTCTCTCTCTTCTCCTTCGTCTCCTCTTTTACATCTCTCTACCTTGTATCTTCTATCATGGGTGCCCCCCCAACACACACACACACACACACACACACTCTTGCGCCATGTCTCCCCCCCCAGGGGGCGTTGTGTAGTTGTACAGAGTTAACAATCCAGACTGTGTCACTCCCGCTGGGATGGATGAGCCAGTGGACCCGGCGCTCAGGAAGCCTCATTAGGATTCCTTTTTAATCCGTCTCTGACAGGACTGACCCGAGAACAGCACAGCACCTCACACACACACAAACACACACACACACACACACACACACATACACACCATGCTGACACTAGCGTAGACTCACACATACACAAACATGAATGCACTTTGTTCCATGCACCATGAACAGACACTGATACCAACACACACACATATATACACATTGTTATGCTAATGATGTGTTATTCTTCCAACAAAAAGGATCTTCAATCATCGTAGTGTCACTGCTTATAGAAATCCACTACAGATCATAAGAGCTTATTATGGGTGATTAGTTAATTTGAGGGAGGGAGAGTTGGGAGGGATGCAGGGAGGTAGAAAGCTTGTTCTCCTTCTTTGCTCTTTTGTCTTCCTCTCCTTCTTTCTCTCCCTCCTTCCTTTTCTTCTTAGTGAGATATATTGATCAGCACGTTGACTGTGTTATCAATAATCTCCTCTTCCACAAACAGTGATCTCCTCTAATGAACCAGCACAGTTGTCAGACTGTTCTTTCTGTGTGTGTGTGTGTGTGTGTGTGTGTGTGTGTGTGTGTGTGTGTGTGAGACAGAGAGAGAGAGAGAGAAACTGAGAAAGAATCTCAGCCTGCAGGATGAAATCAAGAAAAGAAAAAAACATAAACACAGTACTACTGTCTGAACTTTCACAACTACATGAAATTAAAGAAAATTCAGCTTGAATAATTTATGCAAGTGCTCTATGCAGGACATGGGTGTATGATACCCAACTATAATTATATGGTCACAAAGAGTCTCAGTGATCTCTGAGTTTGTCTGCCACTGAATAAAAAAAATTGTTATATTAAACCAAACTGGACTGTAATTGATTAAATCAGACATATAAATGAGATAAAAATGACAACAGACAGTAACAAGAAAGATAAATCTATCATGTACTTGCTCTGTGGACCATATGTGTGTATGATTGGTATGTGTGGTGACCTTATGTTAAGCATGTGATTGCTGTGGTCCACAGGCAGCTGCCTCATTGTGGTCTTGGGGCTTCATTATGTGGTCTTAATGACCTGCTGACAACGCATCACTGACACACACAAACATATACAGTGTAGTGGCATCATCATATGTTTGACAACACTATAGCCAATTAGATGGGGGGTGAGGAAAAAGCAGATGTTTATTTATGTTTATGGATCATGGAAATCTCCAGCAACTCCCCTCTCCTCTCCTCTGCAGTGAAGTCTGAAAATGTGATTTCAGCTGTTTTGTCTGATGATAATTCTCTTTTAATTATTAACACTGACATTATTAGGCTTTCACTATTAAGAGGCCTTTCATTAGAGCTGGACGACACCCTAAAGAGAGGTTTGGACTCTCTCTTCTTTCCTGTCTTCTTCTCACTTTTGTGGATATTCCTGAAAGCTGCTTCTCTCTGAACCACCACAACCCTGTGGTTTATACAGAATAATTATTAACCATTGATTATTGTATATTAATTTGTGTTTTCTCCTGTGTGTTCATGTACTCTACATGTGTATAACATCAGTTCTTTGTGTCCGTGTTTGGGATGTGCTAATGAAGCATGTAAGGGACAGTACCATTGTATAAGAGACTCAGGTCGGCTGAGTTATTTCTGCATTAAGGACCCTGGATGAGGTCGCCTCCTACAACATGGCACGCTCCTTAAGCCATCAGACATGGGAAGGGATGCCTAATTGAACATGATAAATTGTAAAGTTAATTACCCCTCACTCCTGTCACTGATACCCCCATGAGGGGGGCTGGCCTCCAGCACAGCTGTTGGTGCATGTGTGCGTGTGTGTGACAGAGAGAATAGGGTGACAGGACAAAAGGCAAGGGCTCCCACGAGAGTTGCGCAGTGGATGATGGCAACAATCGGCTTTTAAAGATACCTCTGTCCCTCTGGTGCACCACTACTTAACACGCCTGTCCCAATATGAGTGTCTCACACACACACAAGAAAGTGCACAGCTGACCTTTTAAACACAGTTGGTAGTGTTGAAACTGTCAAGTGGTTGATACATTGTTCTTTTGTGAGGCAAATCCATATACTTTATTTGCATATACTTGTGCTCCGTTGCAGTATGATTCATCTGCACTTTCTCAAAGTTTTGTAAAATTTAGCTCACTATTGAACCTATATGTAAAGGTGCTGTGTGTTGCAGGTCTGCATTGGACTGTTTTGGATAGTAGAGGTCAACATGTGAAATGTGTGTAATATCATATACAAAAGTATTCATACCCCTTGAACGTTTCCACATTTTGTCACGTTACAACCACAAACTTAAATGTATTTTATTGGGATTTTATGTGATAGACCAACACAAAGTATCACATAATTGTGAAGTGAAAGGAAAATGATACGTGCTGTTCAAGATTTTTTACAAATAAAAATCTGAAAAGTGTGGCGTGCATATGTATTCAGCTTTCGAGTCAATACTTTTACTGTTCACCACACATCATTTTCCTTCCACTTCACAATTATGTGATACTTTGTGTTGATCTATCACACAAAATACCAATTAAATACATTTATTTTTGTGGTTGTAACGTGACAAAATGTGGAAAAGTTCAAGGGGTATGAATACTTTTGCAAGGCACTGTATGTGTTCACCTCAGCCCTGTGTTTGAACATGTGTTGTGTCCTTTAGGTGTCGGTGCTGCCAGCATGGCTAAACTGACCTTCATGGTGGGTGGAGTGGAGGAGGAATACAAGGCTGCGCAGGAGCTGCTCACCTGCATGGGAGTCAATGCTGTATACTGTGGACAGGTTGGAACTGGGCAGGTAAAGACAGACACATGAAAAAGACACATGAAAACATACATTAGCACACACACACACAGAATACCTGTTTATCTGGGCTGCATTCATGCACATACAAACTGTTGTACTTATTTCAGTAACCTAAAACCATTAAACCTGCATGTTTCTGTAGCTAATAGTAATGTACCTGGGTGTAAATGTGCACACAGAGATCTCAGAATTTGGATTCAATTCTATGTTGCATAAGGCACAACAACAATTTGTTTTAAGTTCCTAGCAATCCTCAGCAAACCATCTTTCTCTATAAACTGAGAATTTATTCAACATTATAAATATTACAGTCTGTTCTGTTATATAATAATAATAATAATAGAAAATAAAGATTTCACCCCAGTAATCCAGAGATGACCATGCAAAATGCACCAGCTAAAGAGCTGTTCAGGCATATTCACAAGTCTCTTCCAAACCCAGATCATCTCATTATGTCTTATATATGGATTTATGTACTTTATTAAATGATCTGTATTACATGCTGTCCTACAAACCTAGATACAGAGTAAGCACTTTTTCCTCCTTCCGGTCAATCCCCACTAGGCAGCAAAGATCTGCAACAACATGCTGCTGGCCATTGGGATGATTGGCACTGCAGAGACCATGAACCTCGGCATCAGGTACTGTCAGCCAGTGGCACACTAAGCTGCTTTGTTTCTGTCATTCAACAACTGGGGGAGAGAACAGACATTTTGACACAGGAATGCTTGTGAGTTGGTTTTTAAAGTGGATACCGGGACAATACAGCATGTACTGCTAACATGCAAGTGTAGCCACTGTAGGTTAGAGCCTCATTTAGTAGGTTTCACTTTTCTTCTTGAAGGATGTGGGAAAGTGGACATAACTGCCCTGAGTTGACAAATGATTGAGTTTTCAAAAATTCGAGCACAAGCACCATGAGCTTAGAGGTGACATGTTTGAAGCTTCCACATTTTGACTATGCATGAAAATGGCAATAAACTCACCTAGATATAGCCATCACAGTAAAAGCAATTACTATACCAGTGGTATGACTGCTATAGCAGTAAAAAGTCCAGTGTTGATTTGACTCTCACAGAGTTGATTTTAACTCTATTTCAGAGTTTATATAGCTCCACACTTTCCAGAGTTAAATTAACACTTTTGAAATAGTTAAATATTTAACACTTTTTCAGAGTTACCTTTTTTAACTCATAAAAGTGTTAAGGAAACACCAAGAGGGATTCAAATTAAATACGGCAGAGTTACATTTACTGTAGGCGTGGTAGTGTCTTAAATGCATGATGATGTTATCAAAAATCTCTGTGAATAGCTTGTTTGCTAATAGATAAATCAGATTTTCAACCAAAAGTACATCACTTATTTCACAAAAAACTGACAAATCATCTTCCACTGCAGTGCAAATTACAAGTCCAGCTCTATATTCTACACCATCAACTTTAACCCAACTTGTTGAGAAAACATCATTTGACAAGTTCACGTCAAGCATTTCAATGTTGACAACATTCTCAGGTGTCAGGGAAAATGACTTAATTGGCCCATACTCAATATTACTGAGGGTGAAGGTTTCCCAGTGATGGGCAATGGCCATCTGATGCTTTTTTGCAAATGATTTAGTTAAGTTTTTAAAGTTTTTCAAAGAATCTTTAAACCACTTGTGCTTGGCTTCAAACCGCATACTCCACATATATAACAAGGGGCCAATTTTCCTTATAGAAGATGGGTAATGGATCATAAAATGATGTATAGGTAATAATGTTTTAAGTGGATTCAGACACAAATAATTTGTGGTGGTCAACAATCAAATGTTTCAAATAAATTGTCATGCCAAAAGTGAGAGAAGGTGAAAAAACTATGTTCATTATTTGAAGCAATAAAAGCAACAGACTCCAGTGTTTGTTTCCTGGAGGAACAATGTCGCCAAATAACAGTGGGATGTTTTTTACAAGACACAATGTCTGAATAGAATTCAAACCAATGCCATTACCAGCACTCTCTAAGATAACCTTTGTGGGTCGGTTTTTACGTTCTAAAAATCCATAATCAAAAGAATAAATTCTGGAAAGCAAATCCTGTTCAGATAAAAAGTTTTGTGTGAGATATTGAAAAAGCAGTTTAATTTCGTACTGAGCCACACCCTCAAGAAGATCATGCATGAAGTCACAGGATCAACTAAAATGTTTCTGTAAGTAAGATATATATATTTTTACTTAACATTCCACAGTCCACATGCGAGACTGGGGATAGTGGGTGGATCATCACTAAATCTCTTAGGAGTTGATCTAACTCCACTGTAATCAACACTGTCAAATAACCCCAACACTGAACAACACTTTACTCCCAAAGTGTAAAAATTACAATTTAGGAGTTAAGATTAACTCTGAAAACTTTAACACCCAAATTTTAACTCTCCAATTTTTGCTGTGTACTGTGGCCGAAATTTACTGCTTCAATACAAGTGTGGAAATCTGTGCATCTTTGTGTGCGCGCGCGCGCGTGTGTGTAGTTTATGGAAGTGCAAGGGGGTCCGCCCTGCACCGAGTCAGAGCGGCTGCCTCTGCTAGAGAAAGACGGATGAGGGGGTGGAACCACAGACTCAAATTTTCATCTGCTGATTGAGCTCTCCACCAAGTATACTGTCACAGCCCTGTCCCCGAGCACCGTCTAGCTATCCAATCATTCATCATGCCTTGTCGTGACACAAAGCCTCTTTGGCCAAGACCTTGAGGATGATGGGATATGAAGTCTTCTGAATTAAACAAATACAATCTGGTATGATTTGAAATCATCTTAAGATTTAAAAATTCTAAAAACTGAATGGGCATGAACAGGCTTCCCAGAATCAAAGTCTCATCAGTGTACAGATTTTCTTCAGAATTTCTGTGTTTTGGTTGTAGTCAGGGAATGAGGTTTTCTTCAGTAGGCTTATACATCAGTTTTTCCTTACAAGATTGAAACTCCCTTGGCCATCAGATGGGTTTTTTTTTAACTTGAGAACCATGAAATATTATCTAGTCTGTTTATACACATCCCATGTCAATAATAGCTTGTTTCCACCATCTTACTGTTATGTGTTTTTATGGATTTTGCAACTTCAGAGATGTGTGTACCCGTTTTGTGTGTGTGTGTGTGCATGAATGCGAATTGCTCTTCTCACAATGCAGCTGATTTATCTGTGCTGAGACAGAGGAGGAAAATTGGCATGAGCAGTCGCACATAAATCCCCCCAGCAGGCCTCTAAAATATGGAGGCATTAAGGGAGCAACACAGATTTACAGATTGCCACAAAATCTCTGATGCACGTACACACTTAGACACCCAGATTTACATCCAGAGGTATTGAAGACAGTAGTTTTTTTTTTTAAATAAACCCCAACAACTTCTACTCACAGTAGCACATCATTATAATGTATGTCTATAAAAGGATACGAATACTAACTACTGCATCCCTTCACTATGAGTGTGAATTATTTTTATATCTTTAAAAGACCCCCCATGTTCAGCCCTGATTACCTACGCACACATGCATAGTGTGTGTTTCTATGTCTCCCTCTCCTCTTACTGCTCAATCTCTGGGGCTTTATTAGAGGGTTTAACAAAAACTGTCATCGTTTAGAGAGAGCCCACACCCATAACTCTCCCATGCTGCATTGCGGCTGAACCTCTTATGCAAAGAGGGTGCTCTCTTTGGCCTCATACAGACACACACACACACGACACACAACACAGTCCAACATAAAGGAGACAGAGTGCTCACAGCCAACTTCCATACAGGAAAATGGTAATAACATTTTATCATGCTGGACTTGGGCCTGATAAAGCTGCGCTTTCTTCAAATATGTGTGTGTGTGTGTGTGTGTGTGTGTGTCCTTACCTGTACATGCAGGCAGACGCACACTCTCTCACACACAGTCCTATTTGTAGAGCTAATTTGTTGATCTCAGATGGAAGCTTGGGCCATCTCCAACAGAGCGTGATGTTCTCTTACTGCAAGGAATGGCCACGCATGACAATCACTGAGTATACACACACTCCCAAATCTCCCATTCCACATACACACCCTGTCTTTCTGACTTCATTTTTTTCCCCTCTGTTTTGGCTTTTCTTCCCCATCCCTATTTGCATTACCTTCCTCATTTTACCCTTTTCTGTTAATCCCGTCATGTCTCTTCTTCCTCTTTTGAACCGCTGTAATTTCTGCATGCAGCCAACCAGTCAGTGAAAGAGGAGGCTGAGAAGCTGCAGAGAGGGGCAGCAGCGATTTTAATGATGCACAAGAAGATGAAACGAGGAAGAAGAGAAGAGAGGTGACTGGCCCTGAAAATGATATGCCTTTATCCCCATCCCTATTTGCATTACCTTCCTCATTTTACCCTTTTCTGTTAATCCCGTCATGTCTCTTCTTCCTCTTTTGAACCGCTGTAATTTCTGCATGCAGCCAACCAGTCAGTGAAAGAGGAGGCTGAGAAGCTGCAGAGAGGGGCAGCAGCGATTTTAATGATGCACAAGAAGATGAAACGAGGAAGAAGAGAAGAGAGGTGACTGGCCCTGAAAATGATATGCCTTTACAGCTTACGGTTCACCTTGCATGCCTCTGTACCTGCACTCATTCATGCATACAAACACAGTCATTGATGCACCAACAGAAATGCTCACGTTTGCTCCTTTATTCGTATTATAGTGGAAAATGTGGTAAATGACAGAGGAATCAAAGGGTATAACAAGACATGACTCACTGTGCTGAGAGACAGAAATACGCATAGGTTTGCCACATCACACCAACACAAATACCTCGTCCTCCCTCTGATGCTCAAATGAATTGAGCATATGTTCTGATGAAGATTACAGTTGAGTGGTAAATGTGCTTGTTGCCTCCATAAAATGGATAGTAAATGCTCGTGTGTGTGTATATGTGCTTGTTAGGTTTTTAATGTAATAATAAATAAGGAGCGGCTTCCTCTCCTGTAGCATCAAACAAGGACCAAGAGCTAGTCGCAATCAGACAGTTAATATCAGTGCTGCAAATGAACTCAACGTGCTAGAGCTCCCAACAGATAAACACATAAATGCCCAGCACCTCCTATTTTCATCTGACCCTTCATACCTCTCACATTTCTTTAATCTGCACAGACATCGCACAGTAAAACGTTTGTTTCACCGTTCATGGCTGTGTGTTTATCCATGTCAATCTTGTTAAAGCGTGACATGTTCTCTTCTTCACGCAAATTACCAGAGGCGAGGAACAACACCACTGCGTCAACTAATAACCACAGCTGTGTGTATGTGTGTGAGTGTGTATGTGTGATGGGAGCAGGAGGGGAACTTCATTGATTTATCGTTAACAGAGGACAACAGCTCCCCGTCAGCGTCTCCGGGTGCTATAACAAACGATCTGCGCGCTCGGCCGCGCTTTATTGTAGCTCAGCCAGTAACCTTTTCAGCTGCTGACCCAGAACGCAGGGAGGGGCTGCCTCTGTGTGTGTGTGTAGAGATGGGGGTTTGTGTGCGATGTCAAACATATGTCCCCCAGAGTCTTCAGACAGGGAGGTGTCGGCAGGGAAGACAAGGGGGAGGAAGAGGAGAAGAGGCGGAGGAGAGGAGAAGCAGGATGGCGAGAGATGCTTTCAGACAAACTAAAAGAGCCATCATGAGCAAGACCGCCTTTAAAAATCTGAAAGCTAAAACACGTTTATGCACACATGCAGTGTCACTTAGGCCACATTTCTAAAACGGCTTGTTAAAAGAGGGGGCTCGTCTGTGGCGACACAAGAAAGACGAAGGGAAAAGGAGGAGGGAAAAACATGGAGAGTGTAAATGCAATTCCCATTCTTAATTAGTTAGTAGACAGCTAATAAAAAGCTGGTAGTAATGGCAGAATGAGGGCCAGGTGGAGGGAGGGCCACTGTTGGCCTTAAGGACCTACTGTATGATGGTTTAATAGTCATACTGAGAGCAGAACAGAGTTGCAGGCCTGTAAGTAACAGTGAAGTGAAACAGCTAGGGCGTGATGTGCTCAGCTTTAAAACACTGATACACCAACACTGAAGCTATAGTTAGACCCTCCATGCTGTAATGCTTGGCACTTTGTTTCACTCCCTCCTGCTTTCTCTCACTTGTCTCATTTGCTTTTGCTTCTTCATATCACAGTCTGGAGATATGTCCTCTTGCATATGAAGGTGGATTACTGCAGAATGCTGCAGCATAAGTAAGGGCATGCTTCTATACATGACAACAAGGTTTATGGCTCCCCTGCGCTGCTTAACCACTTCTCCTCCGCCTCCACTTTTTTCGTGAGAGGGATGATGAAGGATAGATGTGCTGGTAAACATCAATACTGCATTAGCCAGCATTACAAAGCCTTCAGCCATTAACACTGAGGAATGGTCACAGCTGGGCATAAGGTTCAATGGGGGTCACCAGGCACCCCCACACCCATCTTCACTTTGTGTTGAAAATGAATTTCAAATTCTCCTGTTGTCTCACTCCTGTCTGTCCCTTTTTGTCAGTCTTGCATAACTCCTCTCTCTCTTTTTAGCTCTGTCATCTTTTTCATTTAACTGAAGAAGTCAGATGAAAATATAATAATCTGTCCATCTAATATATATCCATCTTCTTTCTCCCTTTTTCCTGCTTCCCCTTTCACCAAAAAAATCTGTATTACATCACTGGTTTATCTGAACTCATCTTCACTGGGGACTTTTGTACACTTTACATGCCTAATTGGACCATTTCACACTGATGATCTATCCATGGATTTCACCTGTTACTGACCTCTGTCTTTTTCTCCTCTTGTCCCAGACTGGGGTTGGACCCCAAGCTGCTGGCAAAGATCCTCAACATGTCCTCAGGTCGTTGCTGGTCCAGCGACACTTACAACCCAGTCCCTGGAGTCATGGAGGGAGTCCCTTCCACCAACAACTACCAGGGTGGCTTTGGAACCACACTGATGGCCAAGGTACAGGGCTAGCTGCTCTCTATCCTGGTGTCATAGTTTGTTCATCATCACCTGGAACTTTATGTTACCGTAATTCATTTCATTATCAAATAATCTGTTCATCAGTTTTTTGATAGTTTAGTCATTTCCTGGAGGAAATAATGAAACAGAACACTAGCGTGCTCCCACAGCACAAGGTGACACCTTCAGATAGCTTGTTTTGTCCAGCCAACAGTCCAGAATGCAAATACATTCAATTTACAATTAAATAAAGGAGCAGATCTTTTAATATGTGAAGCTGGAACTAGCAAGTATTTGACTTTTTTTGTATGATAAATGGCATTGACAGTCATCAAAATTGTTGCCTTTTGATATTTCAGCTTAATGAAGAATTGAATAATAGTTTCAGCTACTACTTTCTCCTTTTCTTTGTCTCTCATGTGTCTCTCAGAGCCCTGACCCTCACTATCTTGGTTTCACTTCTTTTGTTTTGTCTCAGTGTGGTACTATGTGCTCTCCTCTTCACCAGTACATCTATGACTTATTATGTACCATTTGATTTTACTATCACCACATTAGCTTCTCTGTATGGGTCAGTCTGTGTATTATGTGGTGTATCTGGGTGTAGGAGTTCTGTCACACAGACTTCACATACTAAATATGACAGAATTGGAATAAATATTTATATCAGCCTTTAGATAAGCAACAACAGAGCATGTTTGTCCACCATTCTGACACCCTGCCTCTCTCTTCTTCTCTGTTTGTAGGATCTTGGATTGGCCCAAAACACAGCCACCAACACTAAGACACCCATTCCTCTAGGCTCCCTAGCCCACCAGATCTACCGAGCCATGTGCTCCCGTGGCTACGCTAACAAGGACTTCTCATCCATCTTCCAATTCCTACGCGAGGAGGAAGGCCAGTGAACGGTGGGGGAGCACAGCTGACTGTTATGTTACCACACACAAACCACAACTACACACCCGTTATCTAGTGCCCCTTATCCCACTATGCTCAGGAGAGACTCAGACCTTGCACTCAAGCAGGGATCTGCAGTCCAATTAACATGCTGTATGTTGACACATGTCCCCTCATTGCTTTAGCTGAATCATATTTTCAATTCATGGCTTTCTCTGTCTGCATGGGGGAAATGCTAAAACTGACCTTAGATCAGAATCTAGAGACAAAGAATCTCTTCCCTGTATGGTATGAGTGGCCTAGAGTTGTGAAAATAAGAGGTAGGAAGAGTCGCTGCAGGTTTACATGTAACTATGCAAATAATATGTGGTTTTTCAGGATGATTGATAAGTAATGATTAACAATGATTGCATGGATTTTGGGAGTTTAATTATGTTTTGTTGGGTTGCATGTTACCTTAATAATGTGGACCTGTCACTGTTAAGTGAAAGGGGGAATTTACACAGTATTAGAATTTCATCAAAGAGACAATGCAAGAGAGTGCAGGGTTTGGGTTGCCTTTTTCTAATGGAACAAAATGTGACATTCACAGCACATAGTGTGTAGTAACCACAACTAGTCATGCTGTCATCTCAAAGTTTACTTGTTCTGTTTGTGTGTTTTTGCCAGGAGGGTGTTGCCATTCAGTCACTTAAGTGTCACCTGAGTCTTCCTACCAGCATAAATGTTTTGTTCATTATTCAGTCATCCAGTTATTCTTTTAACCTTGTGAATACACTAGAGCTATAGTAGTTTCAGTTGTTTGCTATTACATTTAAGCCAGCACTCACTGGGTCGACCAGTTCTGCTCTACTATACTGTGAAAAAAATATCTGATTATTCATGCACCATGTATGCGATGTCTCAGGTCGTTTTGATACTGTTACAAAACCTCTGAACTTATCTCTACTGTGTACATCTGCTTATCGAGCCACTGGAGTATTATTTTGAGACCAATACTGTTTCAGCTTTATACTATTTACTACCAAATGGTATCCATCCATCCATCCATCCATCCATTTTCCTCCGCTTATCCGGGACCGAGTCGCAGGGGCAGCAGTCTAAGCAAAGATGCCCAGACTTCCCTTTCTCCAGACACTTCCTCCAGCTCCTCCGGGGGAATGCCCAGGCCAGCCGAGAGACATAGTCCCTCCAGCGTGTCCTGGGTCTTCCCCGGGGCCTCCTCCCGGTGGGACATGCCCGGAACACCTCCCTAGGAAATGGTATTCAGTTAAATTAAAATCTATCTTCACATATCCTCTCTCTTACATACATATATATACTGTATGTCTTTGCCTCAGTCTCTCTCTGTCATCTGTATCAAGTGTGAGTGAGGAGTGGTTCCTTCCTATTCTGGGCAAATGTACATAATGTTTTTAATATTGTTGTGTAATATTAACACTTTTTTTGTAAAATTTATAAATGTTTACAGCTTTATCATTGCTCTGTCAAACAGATTTTCAGTCACACTGAGCCAAAAATAAAGATATTCTGTGTATTTGGTGTTTGTAAAACATACAGTACAGTATGTAGCTGGACATTTACAGTGGCACTTGCCATTTACAGTATAATCAATAGCCCTTCTGTCAGTGTTTATGCTACTGACACACGTGCACATTAGGAATATAGAACTATCATAATAAGCATCTAACATTTGTTATTGTCTGAATACAGAGAACAGTGACAGGAAAATTCTTCATTATCAAATTATACTTACAATACATGATTTTGTCCAAGGTAAATATGATTGTCAACAACTCAAGATGGCCAGTGTGGCCTTGTTACTTTTAAAATAAACCCAGATAATGAAGGTAAGGCAAGTCAACTTTGATTATATAGCATTATATATACATTTCATACACAGAGCCAGTTCAAAGTGCTTTACAGAGGCAAGGAAAAACATGAAATGTATATTCACTCACTATAGGCTATTTACTGCCTGCAGACATCCCAAAGTGATTATTTGCTGTTCATTATGGGGTACCAAAATTCATGGTAGTCCATCCTATGTTAAGAAATTGCACCCAAAACCACAAATATCAAGCTTATAGTGACTAGAGGAAAGGTTAGGGGACCACCAAAGTCTTTAGGATCCAGGGGCCGTGAAAATCTGGGTAAATAGTTATGGCAAACAATCCAACAGTTGTTCAGCATGGACCAGCAGACTGACTGTCATTACCAGCTAGTTGTAAATGAGCACTCTATTTCTGCTTTACTCATATGCTTAACTTTACAGCTGCAAAAATTGCTTATTTTCATCTTTTTGAAATCATAAGAGCCATCCACTGTCACTGGACATATTGTAGATATGGTGTACACAGTGTTCTTTATATTGTTGTTCATACTGTAAATCTGTTAAATTGACTTATTCTGTACAGGCCACATTTAGTGCATGTTTGTCCAACCCGGTAGAGGGATCCCTTCTCTGTTGCTCTTCCTGACATTTATTCAATTTTTTCTTGTTGAAGGATTTTATGAGGGCTTTCCCTTATCTGATTTGAGGGTCAAAGGACAGAGGGTGTGGTATGCTGTACAGATTTTAAAGCCCCTTGAGGAAACTTTTTCATATTAGGCCATGCAAACAAAATGGACTCGACTGGTTCTATACTGTAGATGAACGATTTAGATTTCATTTATGTGCTTGTTATTTTCATCATGCTAAAAGGATGTCTCCGTGGTTTCTCTTCCTGAAGTTTCTCTCCTTTCTTTCACTTTCACATTCTGTGAATGTTTCCCTATTCAAGTCAGTGGTCTAGGGAAATAATAATTTGTCACATACTATACAGATTGGGAAGCCCTTTAGGGTAAAACTTGTGATTTTGGCCAGTATAAGTAAACTTTGTTTATCGTTTAATGTCAGTTTTGAAGAAATAGCAACACTAATCTCAGATTGATGCCCTTATTTCCATCAGTACAATGAAATGAGAGGAAAACAAATATAATTTTATGTTTTATTTTAGTCTATCTATCTATCTGGGCTTATGTTTCTTTGCAACATTTTATGGAGCTGCTGTTGTCTGACAGCCACAGTTGTGGTGAACCACTGGTGGTGGGAGTTGTGTTGTGGGCTTGTGGCTCATTCTGTTATTGTTCTTTGGGAAGTTGTGCACTAGCCTTGGCTGTGTCTTTTGAAGATTATCTTTATCTGATTATAAAAGAGAGGAAGTACTTAGGTTCCGTATCTATGCAGAAGAAAACAATCTTACTGCTTATATCTTCCCATGTAATAAGGCTATTAGATTTTTTTTCAGCAGTACATGACATATTGTAACCTCCACCTTTGCAAACAGTAGCCTCTGAAGCTGATTCATATTTGGGTGGTTTAATTTGCCTGTTTTTATTGCTGGCTGCTGAGCCGGCGGTTTCCTCATTAAAGGACACATGAAAGCAGGCTGTAAAGGAGCCGTGGTGAGACCGGCCCTTGCTGACGTCTGAAGGGAACATGAGCGACTGTAAGACCAGCCGAGTCCCGAGCCAGTCGGTCTGAGCCTGTGGGTCTCACCCTGTCAGCCTGGCAGCGACACCAGACACGCCGCACTGACTGTGTCCACACCAGGACACACCAGTCTGATGTGTCAGCTGTTTGATGCTTTATGAGCCTAAGATAAAGTTAAATGTATGCATGTTATACAAAGAGCATCATGTTTTGTATATTTCCTATTTCTGCTGGTGTATTCTCAGACTTTGAAGTTAATTGCTCACCTGGTTAAACCCCCCTCTGCCAGAGAGAGAATAAAACAGCCTCTCCTTTGAGAATGGCTGCTGTGATAAATACCTGGGGCAGCAGTGTTCGTTATTTCCATATTATAAGTGCTAGTGGATCCTCTGGTTGTTTAATGACTTGCTCTTTAAGAAAGTAAGAGCAGAGGGGTCAAGGCACAGGGAGGGGGGGCGAGGCTGCTCTAAACACCCTGTGATTCATATCAAATGCACATTAAGTGGCATATGGCTAAATTAGTGGCTGGAATCTAGTAGATATAATAGCTTGCCTGGTAGTGCGTAACAAGCCACTGCATCACTGTGTAATGTGGCCTTGATATCTTTTACATGAACCCACCAATAGTCAGGCCATTTAGCCTTAGTCCATATCCACACCCACAGTGTCTGCAACACCCACCCATCTTCTTCCTGTTTTGTAGACAGCATTCCCCCATCCTGAGTCACTGACTCAGCTTAGGTTCATTAGAGAAGATAATTCCATTGCAGACAGCAGGTCAGAACATCACATGTCAGGACCACAGCAAGGCACATAACAGAAGCTAAGTCCTCATTTGAATATTGACAAGGGTGTTGTGAGTTGCTGTGAAATAAGCACCCACTACCTGGTTAAAAGGTTGCAACTCAACAATAGTCATTGCCAAAAATATTGGCACCCCTGCATTTCTGTCAGATAAGGCACTACTTATCCCAGAAAATTATTGCAATGACAAATTCTTTGGTATTCCCATTTTTATTTCTTTTGTCTGCATTGGAACAACAAAAACTGAGAAACAAATGACACATCCGATATATTCCACACAGAACTCCAGAAATGAACTTGACAGAATTACTGACACTCATACACCCTTGACTATATGAGTAATAATCTGGTTTACACTCACTTTTAATCTCACATTTCCTGTGTTTATAACCTTTCTCTTGTATTTGCTAGACATGTGGTAGTCAAGGGGGTGTAAATAGTTTAATCTCGTTGCTCCTCTTCTCTATTATCCAACATCATACTGAATTATACTTTCTTATTGTTCTCTGGGTTTCTTTTTCTACCCCTACCTCCTCTTCTACAATACACTTCTGTCTTCGCATTAGCCCCCACCCACAGTCTGTCACCTGTGAGTAACGACAACATGCATACTCTATTCATCACACATTGCTGCACATGCTCTGTAGCTCTTCATTATATTAATTACTCTCATTGGAAGAGTGATCATCAGCCCCATCAGAATCTATCACCGCCTGGTTCCCACAGAAGCCCAGGCCCGGTAAATAATCACCAGTGTTGGTACCAAGACGGACCCACCAGGGTGGGCCCTAAATACCCAGGGGGGTACAGCTTCCATTGAGCCACATTCATCTCTGCCAGCAGTTGGGGGAGAAGGTAGCAACCTTATCCAAAGGCTGCTGGTGCAACTTCAGACTTATGATAGGTGAGGGTGGATGAGAGCAAAGTAGAGGTAGTCTGATCCCACATTAGCAATCAGAAGGAAATAACAGTTTGTTTGTTAAGATGATATGTGGATTAATCTGTGATGCACTAATCCAACTTTTTCACCTGATACCAAATTCTACATCTCAGTTCTATCTGTTGATACTAATCCAGTACCAGTTCCCTCTTGTTCCCAAACTTATCATCTGTATACCTCACAGCACAGAACTCACTCTAAACATTTTTAAAAATGTTACATGTGGCCATTGCTGTGGCCCTAAACACTGAGTTAATTAATAGCAGTCACATAATGGCCCATACAGTTAGACATTAGATGGTGCATTCTAACTGAATATAGTTTATTTTCCAGAAGGTTGGAATGGTTTTAGTAATGAGTATAATTTGAACCAACTCCAAGTAATAACTATCTGTATCCAGAATGCAAGCATCCATGGGTGCAGATGGACTTTTATAGGTTTGCAGTTAGAAGTTATTATATTGTCTGTAAAAAGGAGGAAAACAAAATAAACTCAAGGTCAAATCATTGTCTTGTTTGATGCTCAGCTATTTTGTCATTTTGTTTGAACTGAACGAAATTAAATTACTGGAAAGTGTGAATACAAATGTTCATGGAATCATATTTTTGACAGATTACTAAAACATTAGAAGTTCGTGTTTTTTGTTTAAAAGGATAAGACAGGCGATATTTTATTATTATTGTCAAAACCAAAATGATGTTAGTCTGTATCTGAATATTTTACACATCAATGGCTCTCAGTTCCAAACTCTTTTATGTTTTATTTTCAATCTTAAAAATCTGTTACAGAGAAGGCTTATAGCTACTTTAATTAATTAATAAAAAAAAAAAGTTAACCTAAACACTACTTTCCATCTGAAGACTATTCAGTAAACATT